AAAATGTGAAGATCTGAGATTGATTTTCTTTTATTAAAAAAAAAAAAAAAGCATTATATATGGGAACTGAAGATTTTCTGGCTCTGCCACAACTGTTCTGAGTGACTTCAGGATTAGTAAAATTTTGTCTCAGTGAAATCAGAAGGAATCTGCTAGTAATGTCAGTGAAGCCAGAATATCACTATGTTTATGCTCTGCTTTTCTATCAATACAATTAGGGTAATAACAGTATATTTCACATTCTATTTTTTTGGATCGTTAGTTGTTCAACATAAGAAGAGTTCCTCACTACATGCATCAGAAGGCAGTAAGCTTCAATAAAGTTACTAGAGCTATCCTAATGAATAAGGTTCATTGTTTAAAAAGGTACAAGTGGAATGCATTTCAGCGAACTTCAAAAGTACTACTTGCATTTCTTTAGAAGTACATATTCACAGTTACAAAAATATATGTATTTGAGTGGAGAAAAATATATCAAATATTATTCAATGTACACTTCTTATGCCTTTGCGCAAATTCAAAGTCCTTCAATGCTAATAGATAAATTCTGTACCTTTTTATTTCCAAGGATTCCTGAAAAAAAACCAAAAAACAAACAAACAAAAAAACTATTTCTTTCATGAAGATTATAAAATGGTTATGGATTCTTTAGACATAAAGTTAATTGGAAAAAATATCACTATGTATACTGTTACAAAGGCTGTTCTGCAAATCATACTCTTATTAAACAAACTTTCTTACAAGTAAAACATCAATCACTCTGAGGCAAACATTCATGTTGAAGGAAGACCACACACATTCATTAAGATTTTTATCTGAGTTTTGTTTCAAAAGCCTAGAACAATTGCCAGCTTAGACAATTATTTGCCAGCTCTGTTTCCTTAGAAGTTTTTTAATGACTGCAGCTAAGATACAGTAAAGTGATTGTTAATACAACCTTTTTCTTTGGAAACAGAAATATTATTTGTTACATGCAACTGCTAAAGACTACCTATATTTTTAATACTGTTTAGTTAAAAACACAAGCACTGAACACAATAGTACATAACAATGCATATCATAAAATACTCTGCCAATTTCTATTGCTTTAATAGACAATATATTTATCTAAATTATTTTATCATTCTCACAGTTTCCTATAGAAAATATTGTAGAATAAGACATTCATTTTGATAATACATCACTGAAGGCCCAATAATTTGCTTGGAACAACTACTAGACCTAAAAGGCAATGTCAGTATTTGTTGGAAAATCCAAAAAGAAATAAGATCAAGAAACAGCTGATTACTTCCATACTTTAAATAAACAGTGACATTCAATTTGCTGTTGTTGCTGTTTCTCTTCCCACATTTGGATGTAGATAGTTAATGCTTCATGAAGGTGCGCTAGCAAATATCAGTGACAAAGCAGACTTTTTACAAAGGTAACAGGAACACACATTCTGGATTAGCAAATTCTTATATCACTTCATCTGAGATAGACATATTCTCTGATGTTATTCTGTATTTGATACCTCTCCTTCTCTTATTGTATGTTGCTATTACTGACTGATGATGTTTGTCAAATTGTAAATATTGTATTCTGCCTCTGTGTGTCATTTTGGCTTTTATTGCCAGTCCTTTTTTAGGAATTGTGTGTTATCGCTATACAGACGCCTTTCAAAGTAATGATCTGTAAAGTCCCCTCCAGTCCAGTGCATCGTATTTTTAGTTTTAGAAAAAGAATCAGTTGTGACAACAGCTAGATCAGGTTTCTACCTAGGATATCTGCTCTCCATCAAGCAATATGGCAATTATCAGGCTTACAGAATATTTGGAGAATGAAGACAAGTACAGTTGGACTGGTATTATATATGAAAATGTGCTAAATGTTCTTTACTAGCATAGTACATATATACTGCTATTTTGACTTGGATTTCTATGCATATGATAGCAGATACCTAGAAAACCTGGTAAAAATCTAGAAAAGGAAACTTACCTCAAAGAAATGTGATTTCTGTAATAAAGGATTGACACTTAAAGTAGTCACAAGGCATCTTCTCTAGCTAATAAAGCAAAGTAGTTACTTCTTACCTCTGAAATTCCTGATCCTAATGTGAGAACGTCTAGGTTTTTTTAGAGTAGAGTCTAGGGTGACTAAATGTTGAGACCATCAAAAATTAGGTAAATGAATCCCACCATGGATAAAAAAGGAAGCGTGTTACTTAAAAACCTCATAAGTGAACATGAAGTCTATCTCTATTGAAGTGAGGAGAACAGCCTTTTTCACTTATTCTGGCCCAGGGCTACTTCTGGCCAGATGCTGGAGCTTAACTTAGCTAGACCATAGGTTCCAGTGTCTCTGCCCAGGTTGGAGACATGGTTGCTGCTTTCCCTTTTGCAAGCTGAGCTTGTATACCAGAAACATACAATGTTGCCTTCAGCAGCTCTTATGTACATGACTCACATAAAACATGGATACAGACAGCTATGACTTCTTCCAAGTGGTGGAGACAGAAGTTCACTAGTGCAGGTACACAGACCCCACTCTTTAGGTTCACAAACACACACATATTCAAGCATCATTTCAGTTCCTGGCATGATCAAATCTCTCAAGAATCACACATAGCCTCTTTGTCCAGCATCCCCTCTCCAGGATTATGTGAGTACTGGCATGGCCCTTCTGTGCATGCAGCACCCCTGCTTGGATCCCAGGCCCTCATGCCCACTTCATAGGCTGCTTACTCTCCAGCTAGCCCAGCTTGAATTTTGTTGCAGTTGCACACATTAGCTCATCCAGGAGCTGGCAATTAGATCTTCAGCACAAATACACATGAAGAGTACAGATGTGAAGAGATTACGATTTCATGAGGAAAATATAGGAAGATAAAACAAACTGCAGTGACACAGGACTGGACTGATGAGGATGTTGACTGGCCATATTTTACATGTGACTAGCCTTTCCGTACTCTTTTCTACCTATACGGCTAGCTACTGACCTCCAATTAGTCTCTGTGATACTGATCAGAGCACTATGAACTCTGCTACTCAGTCAGTTCTCAGTCTATCTTATACTCTCTAAGCTTACCTACAAGGGTGTTATAGAAGACAGTATCAAAAGACTTGTTGAAGCCACAGTACACAACATCCACTATTCTCTCCTCATCTATCTAGATGTTCATGACGTCATAGAAGGTTACCAGGTTGATTTGTCCTTGGTGAATCCATGTTGACTACTCCTGATAACCTTCTCTTCTACTTGCTTGCATCCAGAATAAGTCGTTCCACCATCTTCCCAGGAAGAGAGCACCATAGATGCTCTCAGTCTTCTATCATGAAATTAGCTAAACTAGACATGCATGTAACACAACACTCTGTAACAGTACTGTTTCACCATTCAAATGCACAACAGTAGAGGACCTCTTTCAAATTACTCAGCTGAGCAGTTGGTGCTTTGTTTCAAAACAGGAAGAGAAATTCTGGTTGATTCCTGCACCCTGGAAAGTAAGGCTATTGCAAGAATCATACTTTAATATTAATTTGTAACATTTACTTTAAATATCTGGGTTTGAGAACCTTGCTTATGCATAAAGTGGTGAGATACTAATATGTTGGATTAAAATATTTGTCAGATCTCTCTTGAAATGTAACAAATACTATGAAATATAAATACAGCATGAAGAAAACTAAAATTGTGCTTACAGAGAAATAACCTTCCCTTCATACAAACTCCTTCTCATTAGCTACCACCTCTTTTATCCTTAAAAAAAAAAAAAAAGACACCCTGTGAGCAAAAATGTATGAATAACGTCTTACTCCAAAATAACCTCAGAATACATCCACACATGCCAAGAAATAAGTATTTTACTGACTGCAGCCACAAGCCACAATAGTTATATTTAATTAGCAATTTAATCTCATGTTTAGTTTTTGCTTAAACTACAAAGAATAGAAGCCATCCATGAAATTGTCAATTATTTGTCCCTCTGCAATGCTGAAAGGGTAGAGCAAAGATTCAAATCACACTTCATTCTATATCATTCTCTAACTTACACATTCCCTCTAGAACAACCTCTTTAACCTCTCAGAACTTGTTCTCCCCATGCTCATTTTCTTTGAAAAATTACACTTGGCCAGTATGCTTAGTCCAAATGTGAGTTCATCTTAAAAATATATTTTAAACCAAGTTCCTAACATCCAATACTCTCTTTAAAAAAGGCTTTTTAGTAAGACCAGAAGCAATAGAAAAGGAAGGGCATTTTTGGAGGCATTACACAAAAATCAAGGTTATACAGGACAAGAATATTACAATTTACCTTCTCAAAGTGAATCTCTCATTCCCATATCAGTGCGCATAAGTCATGTAATTCACTATCAGTTATAAAAACTGACTTAGAGAAAAAGAATCTCTGATTCTAAGATAAAAGTTTTAGTCAAAATAGGAGGAAAAAAGTAAGATGAGATACAAAAAGTCCTTGATTATCAATTAACTCCTAACAGTTGGAATTGCAACTATGCTGATATAGGGTGGGATTTTTTGTGTTTATTAACGCTTTCATTATCTGCTCTCTCCTGGTATCAATCCTTTTGTGTAAATGATATTTCAAATGAGATTCAGTTACAGTTTTCTCTTTTATATTTCTAGGGCACAGAATCAGCTTTCTTTGTACCTTGAAAAGTGACCACCACCAGCATAAAAAGATAGAACTGACAGACACTCAGTTTTGTGTCACCTACCTGATATTTCTTCTTACTAAATTTTCATTCTCATGAATACTTTCATTGTCTCCTTTTCAGAATTTGTATTGAAGATGTTTCAGCAGCACTTCTATGCAAATAGGAAGATATATTTCTGCACAAATGAGGAGTGCTATTGGGATACTTTGATGGTTCACTGTGTTCAGACATTTAATTATTTCTGAAACATATCCAGAATGTGTTTCTTTAATGATGTGTGGATACTAATCAGACTTTTTTGGGCTAATCATTCACTTAAAAAGAAATTTGGTTTTGTATGAACAGAAATGTACATTTGCAGATGGAAATTCCACAGGTTCCTCATTTTAGCAGCTTTTTCTGAACTTCCACAAGCATTGCTTGGTTCCTGAAGAGCCCCTACAGTAAAAGAATGTTAAAATATGTAAAACAGTCCTTTAAAATGCCACTATGCTGTTAATTACTGTGTTGCTAGTATCATGTGTTTACTATACCAGAATTAATCACAATTTTATTGTTTATAAAGGGCTTGTTACAGAAGCCTCTTAGCAAATATGTGCTACTATTTAAAACCACAGAGTAATCATCTCTCAAAGGAATGTGTCTATGTAAGGTTAACTGGAAAATGTAAAAGACTAATTAGCATCTTGAATAACCATTCAGCCATCTGTTTTAAGAAGGCAATGCCCAAATCTGAATCACCTAAAAAGAGCATTGTGAGAGAAGTTCTGCTGTGCTTACACAGGTGATATCAGTAATATTACAAACAAAAGTTTGTTTCAAGTCATTATAATATTGTTTCTTAAGTTTTGCTGTATTATGAAGAATGTATGAATGGAGACATATATTAGATATAAGATGACACCAGCGTTCCCCTTTAACATTAGTTTCCCCTTGTACAGGATAACTAGTGGAAATGAAAGCCTTCATTAAGCATAAAAAAATTATTCACAAGAGGTTTGAAATATTTGTTATGACTTTGATACAAGTGATTTTGTATTTTATGAATTGTGCATTAAATTGGAAGCATAGATGTATGCTGCGTAACATATATATATTTATATATGCACACGTTCACATAGATGCTCCAAAAGTAATATCTCCTAATTATTTCCTTTTATGTACAGCAGATGCAAAGAGCAAAGTAACACTATCTGATAGAGAAAATTCTCAGATACAAAACAGTCACAAACATTAGCTGTGAATTTTCATCAGTGATGAACAAGAACCTGTATGCCACGTTTGGAAAAAACCGCACCAATAGAGGTAACCTATTTCACCACTTCTGAAACACCTCACCATGGCCTCACTGTGCTCATATCCACTGTTTGGTCTCCATAACTGATATAAATGATGCAATTTTTTCCATATGGAGAAATATAGTGACTTCGTATGCACTTCCAGGTCAGATGCCATTGAGTCAGATTGCATCTGCTGCCATCTCACACAGCAACAAAATGTAACAGAATATTGGTGAAAAGTTCAACCTCTGCTGTCATGCCACCAACATCTCTGACACTGTGGGCCAACAGAATAAAACAAGATTTACTTTTGAAGCAACCCTTATATGTATGTGCACATATGTATGTTTACACACATATAAAATACTGATTATATGTGTGTGTATTTTTATATTTATATACAAATATATGTAATGCAAACAAGCACACTTAGCTGTTGGCATTTGACTCAAAAAATCCAATTCATCCAAACTCATTCTAATTCCTTAAGTTGGGTTAAGAATTTTAAGTTGCTTTCAATAACAAGTTCAATTACACAGTCAAGCAAATCGTAGAGCTTACTACTTAATTTCCAATAAATTTTTTATTTGTGACAGACGGTCTGTTAACCAACCTCAATACCGTTGGATAAGTTGACACCTTCTGACTTACGATAATGGGGAGCTGGTGTGGAGGGAGAAAATCCTTCACAGTAATTGAACACGATCAGCTTGGACTGAGGACGTCTGAGAGGTTCCAATAATTAAGAATCCTATATACATTATCTTAGATGATTAGGTTTTAAGATCTAATCTGGGGAGAATTTGTGAGTAGACACATAACAGATTGAGAGCTGTAGATTGTTGCCCTAATTCACCTTTCTCTTCCTGCAAAATTTTAAGTCATTTGTATCATTGAATATAGTACTGTAAGAACATCAAAAAAAGTCAGGTAACAGATGATTTACAATGTATTTTTGTTTGCTTGCTTACCATGTTACACTGATGGTTGTGCAGCAAACTGAGGAAGTTGTTTGTCGTTTCTTAACTGTTGCAATTTCAGTCAGATACAAAGTTTCAGAAAGGGAAGATTTTCTCTCCTTGAAAATATTTCCATCATGCATCTTCTGGAGCACATGTAGAAAATGTGGAGATTAACCAAAAGAAGTCATAGGCAAGCAGAGGCAATTCTTTTTTAATTGGAAATCAACTTTTAGAATAATAAGTATCATTGTTACTCTGTTCTTAATTTTCACAGCGTAAAGCAAAAACAATCAAACAGAACTTTATTTCACAATGCTTTCCTTACATAGGCAAAATAATAACATCAAAAAACACTCTCATAAGCAGGAATCTTACATGACACTGATTTTATGATCAAAGATTGGCTAATCCATAGCTTGAATATGCCTTCTCTATAAGCAAATACACCAAATCTTAATTCCATTTCCCTTTCTCAGTCATACTTCTTTTCTTCATCCTTCAATATAAATCCAAACATCTGCAATAGCCCAAAGATGTGATATCCTGGTCAACATACTTTGTTGCATATTTTTTAATGACTACAACTTGTAGCAGAAGGCTGCATGGCCTCAAAACCAAGTTGCTGAAAGATAATAACAAAAATACTGTTAATAAGTACTTACTTTTAGTTCCAGCAATAACGTGACAGTATTTCCTAAGGTCTCCTTTAAAATTCATTTCTTTCTCTGCTTAAAGAATGAGGATGATTTTGAAATATTGAAAATTTCAACATTAAGCTGAATTAGCTGAGCTGTAAGAAGAATGGAAAAATTGTGTGAAGTCACATTTTTCATTTTTTATTGCTTTGATCCTATGGTACTCTATTGACAATAAGGAAGGTTTTGTAACAACTGCTATCTAAACTGCTGTGATGCTCAAAGGTATACATTAATCTTCACAGCTGAAGCATTTTGAGTCTTATTTCTAAAAATGATAGTGCTGTGCTAGAAATCAGTGATTCTAGTTCTGTAAACATTCTTATATATTATTGTTTATTTTTACCCTGAAAATGATCAAGGAATGTGACAAGATTTTATATCAGCAATTTCTGTCCCATGGTGTCAAGTGACACCATCATCCATAATCTGGAAACTGAGATTAAAAAAGATTAAATATTAGGTGTTTACAGCGTTTTTAGGTTCTTAAACTGGCAATAGCTAGTGTTTTATAAGGAAAAATTCCTGCCGTGGTTCAGTACACTTTAATAAACCTTATCTATAACTGAAATATATTATTAGATTATTACAGATGTAGATTCATGCCTTGCTGATGGTAATACATTATTTAAAAAAATAGGACTACAGGCATGGGAACTCATTCATTTAATGAAAAAATTTTAAGCAGTACACGTCCCCTATTAGTATTCAGAGTTTATTAGTAATTAAGAGAACAGAACAGAGTAGAGTAGAATAGAACAGTCCAGATTGGAAGGCCACAAGATCATAAAATTCAATTCCTGTCAGGACCACCCAAAAAAATCAAACAATATTTCTGAAAGCATTATTCAGACACTCGTTGAACTCTGTCTGCTTGGGGCCATGACTACTGCCTTATGTAGCCCATTCCAGTATCCAAACACCCTCTGGAGAAGAACTTCTTCCTAACCCTCAACCAGACCCTCCCCTGACACAGCTCCATGCCATTCCCTGCAGCCCTGTCGCTGTCACATAGAGCAGAGCTCAGTGCTGCTCCTCCACTGTCTGTGAGGAGCTGCCCCTCAGCTCCTCTGCTCTGGGCTGAGCAAACTCAAGGATCTCAGCTGCTTCTCATACATCATGCCTCTGAACATTTCATCAATTTTGTAGCTGTCTTTTAGGTGTACTGTAACATTCTGAAATTCTTCTTATATTGTACTGCCCACAATTATGATTGAATATGGAAAGGAAAACAAGGAATGCAAACCCCTGCCAGCAAAAGAAAAACAGGAAAGAAGGGAACAAATTTTAGAATCCAGGAAAAAGAATGCTATTTCAAGAAAACAATTAAAAAAAAAAAAAAAAAAAAAAAAGAATATGAAGAAACATAGGGAATCGCAACATAGAATCATAGAATTGTTCAGGTTGGAAGGGGCCTTGAAGATCACCAAGTCCAACCACGCCCCAACCATACTACTCTAACAACTTTCCGCTAAAAAGATATGACTGGGGACTCTGAAATTATTCAATTTCTTCAGCACATGCCCCTATAAATAAGATATTACTGCTGCTAGACACTGGTCAGAAACTTCGTATCATCTCAACAGTGCAATATTTAAACTTTCTCAAAATTTCTAGACAACTGTAGATTTTTAACCAAGCAAAGTTATCTAACCTGCAATAGCTGCTTCTTAGCTTTGTGAAATTATGTAGTTGAACTTCTGTTCTGATTTTCCTAACATTATCAACATATTTAACTAGTAGATGGCAACTGCAGATAGTTGCTCTGTGCAGATTGCATGAGCCCAGAATGAAAAGATATGTAAGATGACAGGAGTCCTTGAAAATGTAAACATGGAATCATACCAGAAGCTGCAAGAGTATAAACAGAAGTTGGTAGAAAATTTCAGCCTTGTAAGTTTGTTCCTGGGTACATTACATTAAAAACAAACAAAATTTCTCTCCAGGGAGAACACTCCCCATTGATGTCACACTTAATCAAAAAATGATTTCACCATTGTGACACTGGAAAGGTGAGCACAAAGCTAGAGAAAGGGGCAGAAAACCTCCATATAACAGCTTTAGCTGTTAAATTTTTGTGGTTTTTTTTTTTTTTTTTTTTTTTGTAACAAGCAGCAATTATATAACTGAACTCAAAGCTGAAATTTGTACCTGAAATAAAAAAAAAACTTCCTTTGTTTGTTTGACTAATAATAAAGAATTTTTGTCTCTGCACATCAACCATATATTTTTATTACGGAAAAAAAAAAAAAAAAAAAAGCCAAAACTGTCCTGGGTATAGTGCCACAAACAGAAAGGAGTTCTGTCTCTCCAGAGGAAAGACTCAAGATAGATCTGAAATTTGGTATTGCTCTCATGGAGTCACGTAGCTCAAGAATTCAAGAATTTTAATCAGAACTAATTTTTTTTCTGTCCTACATAAATGCATTGAGTGGTACAGGAAATCAGTAAAATTTAACAGACTGCTTAAGAACAGGGCTTGTGATTAAATTCTGAAGATGTTTGGCTGCTGGCAATACCTATGGGAAGACATTTTTTTCTTATTTGCGATATTTCAATTATTTTTAGTGCATTATCTTTTGGGAAAAAAAAAGTCTAAAGCCTTATAAAAGCTTTAAAAAAGGGAAATGAGCATGATAAAGGCAACTTCCATAACTGGTTGTAATAGGACTTGTAGAAAATCAGGTAAATAAAGAAAGTGGAGTGCTACAAAGATGGTGAAGGGCCTGGAGCATCTCCCCTATGAAGAAAGGCTAAGCAAACCAGGTCTGTTTAGTGTTGAGAAAGGTGTCTCTGCCGTGTGCTTCTGAAGACATTTGTCTGTGTAGAAGGAAAATGAGTGTTTGTAATCTAGTGTATATAGGGTTACATTTACTGAGAAAGAACACATTTAAACAAACAGTTTTAAACAACTGGTGTTCAGTCCATAGGACCTATTACTAAGTCTTGAAATTTTAGTCTAAAATATTTCATTTTCTATGTTGTCAATTTTGTTCTACATTCAGCACCATTGCATGGTACTTTACACTAATGAAAAGGCATAATCTTTTATATTCATAGAAGAAGAAAAATCAATAATATTGTTTCCTCTTCCTATAATAACTAAAAAAAAAAAAAAGTTGAACACTGGCAACTTATATTAATGATTTGAAATAGAGAAAATTACCTAGCTTATATGCACTCCTGCTGAAATAGAAGTCGTTTAATCAATTAATTACTTAAACGAAGATCAAAAATGACAGGTACTGAGTGTAAACTGAGTGACCATGCAAGGACAAATATGAGGGCTACTTTGAAGGCAACAATATTGGCCCATAACATCAGAACACCAACGTCATGATGGTGGTATGGCAGTAGAGGCTGAATTTTCCCACTCTTATTCCTTTACATTTTGTTGCTGTGTGGCAGATGGCAGCAGAGCAGCAGTCTGACACAATGGCATCAGATATGGAAGTGCATATGAAGCAAAGGTACATCACTGAATTTCTTCATGTGGAAAAAAGTGCACCCATCAGCATTCGTTGACACTTGCTGAACATTTATGGAGACCAAACAGCAGACATGAGCACATGAGGTGTTGGGTAGTACATTTCAGCTGTGGTGACAGTGGCTTACCTCACTGGTGCAGATTTTTATATGTGATGTATGCAGGCTCTTTTTCATCACTGGCAAAAATGCATAGCCAAAAGTGATGATGACTATGTTGAAGCATAGTGTTTTGTAGCTGAGAATTTGCTCTATAAATACTGTCAATTTTGCTCTTTGTTGAAATTTCTATGGGAATAAGAGGCATTACTTTCAGACAGAACTATGTAGAACACCGCATTCTATAAGTCTTCTCATGCTTAAAACTCAACATGTCCCTAAATAATAGAGTAAATCAGAGTCTATGTTTTGAATATTATGATACTTGTGACAGCTTCCTTTACTGGGCAATGAGAGATGCACTAGAGTAACACTGAATAAATAAAAATTTCTAGTCTTATAGAACAGGAAAACATTTGCTTAATATTGATTCACTACAAATTACTTTCATAAAAATAATTAAGCAGCATGAATAAAAAGTATGTATAAAATAATAAATCTATTGAGGCTGAGAATGTTTATGACTATGTACATATATAGATGTAAATAAGAAAATGCTAAGTAGAATCACTTGCTGGTGCAAGTAACAGAAATAAAGCTTATACTGCAGTGACAACAGCCAATCCTTTTCCTCAATGACTACTTTTTAAAGTTATACATTTGTATAATCAATGGATATTAAGATGTTATAATCACAAAAAAAAACAAGAGAGTCAGGCAAAGTAGATTAAGATAATAAGAGAGAATAAATGGAAGGCTTACCAGTATGCTAGGCTCACCTACAAAAAACACCAGAAGAGGGGATCTCCAGACAAGATCCTTCCCCACTGGTAGCCAGATCTTAAATAGGTCTAGGAGCCTGGCTCCACCCCTTCCAGCAGCACAGGTAAATTGCCTTCACCTGTGCTCCTCTGGCTGACTCATGGCTCACCTCAGGTGATCAATCAGAGGTTCGGGCCGTGACTCAGCAGTTCCCATACATACATTTATGCTCTCATTTTCACCCAATCTTCATAATCAAGCATAGAAAAACTAATAAATCCTCCAGCAGTTTACATGCAACTTCTGATTTCCCCAGACACTGTTCGTGCCATCCCTTTTTTGAAGCATTCACTTTTGTCTTTGCCTTATAATCTCGAGAGAAAAAAAAATATATCCAGAAAAAAAGACATGTTTTTTTAAAATACTTCACTTATAGAGATTGTATGCTGTAGAAGGGCAATAATAGAACAAACTCTCATCTGCAGAAATTATACACCACTGTAAAATTTAAGGTTACACAGCTGGCATAGGTATATATGCATATATATATATTCATAGCTGGCCCCTTTAACCTACATTTAACACATTTTGCTATCAATAGTTATTGACGTGAACTAATTCAAAAATAGTTTCCTGATTCTTTTAATTTGAATGCTATTTTTATTGGCCTCCACTTACATTGTTAAACTCTCACAAAACAGAATTATAGTGGCAATACAATAAATTAACATGAAACCCTGCAACTTCCTCTGATTTTCTAACATCATAGAACGTACAAAAAAAGCCTTTTTATCTCTGAGCTTCCCTGTAACCCCCTACAACATAACAGCATACTGTGGAAACAGAAGTGTGAACATGAAGTACCACCCAGGAAAATCTTCTATTAAGGTCACCTTTTCTGGTCACTGTCAGGGAAGTGCAGATGCTCATTTGTGTTATAGGACATGCTCTGCATGTTCAGAAGAACAACACAAAATATAACAATATATAAGGAGATATTTGCTTTTGTGCTCATGTGATGTCTTTGTTTTGGGGAAACTATGGCACGGACTAAAAAGTTAGCCTTTTAAGAGCTATGACAAAAACATTATGGAAAAATATTACAGATAAGGAAGCTTCAGATTATCACTAAGAATTCACTCGCTTGAATACATATTCCAAATGAAAGCAACATAAAACTAAATATTGTATTTTTTAAAACACATTACACAATAAAATAAATGTAGCTACAGATATCAGCAGTGCTCAAAAAAAATAAATGGAGATCAAGCTGAAATACATGAAAGACATGCAACTTTTACTGAATGTGATACAATGAGCACTGCATCATTTAAGACTCACTAACAGGTAATGAACTATAAAATCTGTATTGAAATGGAAATGGAAGAGAAAGAATAGCACAAGGCATCAATGAGATAGTCATCAGGCTGAAAGATGGGAAAAATTTGTAGGCAACAGCTCACTGAAATTGAGCAAATTAAAAACTGATGGAAAAATCTATACAGATTGAATTAACCAGTTTGTGGAGAAAAAAAAAAAAAAAAGAATAGCGTGGCAATATTACATGACTTTTAAATGGATGTTCCTGCTTATGTCAAGCTTCCCAAGCAATTGAGAAAAAGACATCAGTAAAACAAAATTCACTTCTTCACATGACACCATTTGGTTGATTGTAAGAGCATATGTTAAAAATACATTGTCCACATAATCAGTTAATTATCCAAGTTTCATTATAGAAGTACATAATGAAGGAAACTTCAGTTTATTCTGATTTTTAGGTTCAAGATTCATTTGTTTGGCATCAATTTTGAATTAATTTTTAAGACTTTTCCCAATCTGTTTGAGAAACAGAACTCAGATCTATTCACTTCCATCATTTTCTGCTACATGGATTAATTTAACAGGATTGTTAGTTTCATTATTTACCTGGCTCATAGAACAATAACTTAAAATGTCTGTAGTTTTCATTTTCTTAAAGGCACAACTCAAATTCCAGCTAATTTAAAGAATATGATCGTTTTCAAAATATTTTCAAATAAACACTATGAAAAAGGTGATATTCAAAATAAACTGAGTCATAATACTTTTGAGTTTTATCTATACCAAGTTAGAAATTTGGATATTTTTTGCTCCCAATCATTCTTTCTATACATTTTCACTGTCTACATCAGAAAAAATTAAAACTTTTTTTCTGATGAATGAATTCCTATTTTTTTTTAGCATGCCAAATATTATGTTGTGAAGGAACCTATCTTAAGCAAAACAAAATAATACATATATATTAAATTAATTCTTATAATATTCCATCCATCTTGCGTGCGAGCTGATTTTTGTATGAAGTACCCTTAATATATTTCCTCCAGAGTTACTCAATAAGCAAATGAGAATTTCCATAAATTTTTATCGTTGGTCCAAACTATATGAAATACAATGACTTACCTACTAAAAAAGGAGACAGGCTTTGATTTCTAAATTTTTGTAACGACATTTACTATTATAAAGTGCTATCAGTTTACATGACCTTCATCTCTGTAGTAGTTGTTTATTCTATGTGGACTTACACTGTGTTTGTTTAATCACGTTTTTTAAAAAATTATTCATTCTTGCTATCAAGTAAACAGACAGCCTCTGTGTTTTCATGGATGTGCTACACTGTTCCCAAGCTTTCTCTCAATTCAAAAACATGCTCAAAGTAGAATCCTTAACTTCAACAGAAATTAAGGCAAAAACGCATGTTTTTAAGCTAATCTCAGGATGGTCTAAAAAACCTCATCCAAATGGTTTCCCTAAAAATTTCAATGTATTTAGCTTCAAGATACATTTTTAAGTGCAATTAATTTTTCTCTCTCTCTTTTTTTTTTTTTTTTTTTTTGTTGAAACCTGTGCTAGATGTACTTTTCTATTCTCTATATTTCTTGATTATTTTGGAAATCCTGAAATCAAGAAAGCACCTGGCTATAGTTCATCTCTGAATCAATGCCACATTCACAGAATCCTGGAATCATTGATTAAAATCGTGTAATCATGATTCTATGATTCTATGTCACACGGTCTTTTTTCCTATATGACATAATACTACGTTTACTTATTGCCATGATTCATTCAACGTCATTATTATTTACTGAATGTTCAGAACAGATTCTCATTACCATTCATGCCACATACGTATGCTTCTTTTAATTTAAATGTTAAGCTTTAGATATTTTTTTCTGCATGTTTAAAATTCAAGTTGATCTACATTGTTTAAATTATTTCATAAAAGTAATCATTTCCAACAGGTAATAAACAGTTCTAGCAAGAAAAAATTATAAATCAATTTTGTTAATAGTTTTTCTGTGTGATGTGCTAGGCATCTTCATTTTTTTCTGTCAGGAAATGCTAATATAATATATTTCAGATTATCAAAAGAGTACATTTTCTAGTAGAATAAAGGAATATGTCAGCAAGAATGCATAGAATGAGTAAAATTCATCTTCCTGTCATTGTGTGATGGATTATTTTTAACTACATACAGTTTTCTCCAGACAGTAATAGGCTGCAAATATATACATCAAGTAAATCACTGAATAAGGAGGAATGAAATGGAACAGATATGTTAGAAAAAGTATAGTGAAGTATGTTGGCTGCTCCACTGCAGTGAAATGAATTAGAACTAGTTTTACTACACTGTGGTTCTTGAATACTAAGTACAAGACTGTAGGCATTTACAAAAATAACTGAATAACATACTGAGGATATTTGTAGATTCATATCTGACAGATTTACATCTTCAAAACACTTCTCAGAATAATAAATAGCACCATCTTGAAGTGGTAAAATACCTTGCTAGAGACATTCCATCAATTAGTGAAGAAATAACATGATTTGTATAAGACGGTGAAATAGAAATCCCTATTATTCCTGGATAACAAAAACTTCATACACTAAGATACAATTCTAAGAACGTTGTCAAGAAATGTCCAGTTTTGAAGTATAAAGAAATCTGGTGATGCAGTATATTAAAAATGTATGTATAGTAGTTTTGGCCAAGATTAGTTAATTTTGTAAAGTACAAAATTCAGAAAATATTTGGTTGTTATATGTAGCACAGAATTTAAGGAAAACTTAAATCCATTTCAGTTTGTTTGTTGGAAAAAAAAAAAAAAAAAAAAAGACATTTAAGAATACAATCAGCAGCACAACTAAAAGACATTTAACATTTAGTACCATGCTTTTTGTAAGCTGAAATTCACAGAATCTCAGTCACAGAATTGCAGGATATGGAAGGGACCTCAAGAGATTAAGAAGTACAACCCTACTGAACCAAATATCCTACAATAGGTCTCACAGGTAGGCATCATACTGAAGAAATAACCATAAAAATAGTATACTACTTAAACATCTACTTACAATAAATAAATGACACATAATTGGTGCCAAAGATTCAAACATACCTAAGCAAAGAATGTTGCACAGACTCCACAGAAACTCAAGTATGAAATGAAAATAAACTAAGACAAGCTACATGGAAATTGGGTGCTTTTTTTTTTTTTTTTTTTTTTAATTCAGCAACCATATAAGAAAGGAGGAGGAAAAAAACATCTTTTCTATTCACTTAAATTTGACAAAGAAAATTTAGATACAATGTTATGATGACACTAAAATAACAATTATTTGGGCTTTTCAATCAGTAACTGACAAGGATTTTGTTAAAGGAAAAAAAAGGTAGAAAGATGAACCTCAAACTTTTTTACAAGGGTAATGGGATGTTAAAAATGAAGCCATGGTTTCCTATTGTTACCATATCAATTATTACTGCTAGAGACAGCATCACATAGCATGAAATGCAGGAGTTGTAGGAAAATGATATTTTATATATCCTGAATTTTGCACAGTTTATAAATAATAGCCTATGGGATTAATATTTCTTTACAGTTAATGATTACCTACCTTTAGGGGCAAAACTCCTCTGGATAGTCATTAACTGTCAAGAAATGCTGACCTCACAAGTCATTTTTACTGAAGTGCTGTATAATGCATATAATAGCTATATAAATGCTGACTATCACTACAGTAAATATTTAAATGAGATGCTTAAGAAGAGCTTACAGGTTGTTCTTAAACTGATCCTCAGGCTAGTTTTGGAAGGCAGGAACAAGGAGGCTCTGTGAATGCTTGTACACAAGGGCAATTGCTTCTAAGTACTTTTACTTTCTGATCAAAAGGGATCAAGT